AATAAATAAACTAAACATTGGCAGATACATTCGGTAAGTAGATTGTTGGCGATGGCATAAAATTTGTCTTGAAATACTTTAATTATTTTCTGTTAATCACTTGTGATCTTGAGTAGGTGCTAAACAAGGATGCCAAACATGAAAGGTCAAAGGTACAATAAGAAGTATATTTGAGTTAGGGTAAACGATTTATATTTAAACAACAACTGAAATATCACAATTCGTAAGCATTTATGTGACATATTTTTTATTGGACATCTAGAAGCAAGAAAACTGTAGACAATACGTCATGAGAATCTCCTTCAGTGACATAGTCCTTGCCGCCAACATCGATAAATGGTAGTCCCCCGCAAAATATCAGGGTCATTAATGGGACATGGGGCATTTATTTACCTTGTCTTATTTTACTTCATGAACACGGTTCGAGAGTAAGCCAAAAGATGTTAGCCATTCCATAGAATAAGCTTATTTGGCGATATTGTCCTCAACGTTTAGCCTCCCATCTCAGTCTTGAGGACCAAAAAGCGCCTCCCGTCAAAGAATGCTTGGCAAACAGAAATACGTTGGAGTACAGTCTTTCCAGCAGCTACAGTTGCCGCGAAGACCTGTTATAACGCGAAAATCGGAGAGGGCACCTAGTATTTTGGGTCGATCACCCACTCATATACATATTTATCTTTATTTATTTATGCTCGATTACAGTAGCCACATAAAATTTATCATTCGGACTTCAATTTTACTGGTAACAGACCTGGAAATTCAACAATTCATGAGTATGGATCTCGAAAAACTGCAAAACAGAAAAAATGCAAAATTACCTTTCTCTACCAAACGTTAAGTGCTGTGTGCCACGTGGAACGTGCGAACGTTCGGCATAGCTGGACAGACAGACTGTATCGGTTGCAGAAGAACTGAGCGCGATTGAAATTCTGGTAGATACAATACAAAAGACTCACTGACATTAAACTAGCGTTCTGAGTGCAGAAAGCTATTGCACTGGAAGTACACTGGCGTAGCAATGCACTGGCAACCAGTAGAAAAGCGGAAGGAGCACCTCTGCATTGGAACATTGCATCTGGCCGAATCACTACGGTGAGGTTCACATCTAGGTCAAGCGACTTGGCATCAAGTTCGTTGTTATGCCCCTCCAAGCTCGGAAGAGGTGGTAAGAAAGGAATATTATGGCAACAATGGCTTAAACATTGCGGAACCCCTATATATATATATAACCTAAGGGTGGCTTAGGCTGCTGGGAAACTGAGACAGGCTTCGAAAAGTAGGCTTCAAAACTACTTGGGGGAAAGGGGGAAGGGAAGTGGTAGCATATAACGTGTCATATGAACGAACGGAAGCTATGGCGGTAATGCAGCTGAAAGTCGGTAGTTGGACATCTCCTCATTCAGAGGGAAAAAGTAGGGACAAGTTGATGGACAGCAAACTACGGACTGGATATACTTGGACTCTTTACAACGAAGCGCCAGGGTTCTAAAATTCTGAGCTTCTGCGGGTGGAAACGATTTTACTCAGGTGTCGATATCACGACGCACTCAGGTCGGTGTTGGTGTTCTGGTAGAACCCACCTTGCCGATAGAATAATCGATTGGAAGCCTATCAGCGGAAGGGCGGTAATCCTCCGACCGAAGCTACAACAGGCTAAATCGATGACCTTGGTCTATGTGCCCGAATACAGGTCCCTCATACTCATAGGTTATTTTAATGGGCATGTCGGAGTAGACGCTAGCGAGTGGAACGGCTTGATTGGAAGAAACGGCC